TTTCGTGTTTGTTATGGTAACGGAAATTGTTCAAAATTGATTGTCCCTGATTAACTAATTCAAATTCAAGAATTATAAAATCCGATTTTAGTTTTATTACTCGACAACTTGTGGGGGTCATGTTTAGTGAATGGTATGAAAAGTATGGTGAATCTTTTTCTTGGGTTTGGATATATACGGTATTATGTTTATTTGAATTACATTATCTTTATATTAGCTTTGACCTGCATTACACGTAACATTTACTTTTTGCTATCTTAAAGTTAACATTACAACATTTTGAGGTTTTGGTTTCTCAAGGGACAAGTTTTCAGCATACAAATTCTTCGAAAAATGTGAAGTTGAAATTTATGTGATACGTCACTATATCCTTTTATTAACATACATTTGTGTTAACATTAGACAAAACAATGTTTCATTAAAAGCATAACAAGGCATGAGATATGCTAATATGATCGTATACGTCTAGCAAAATAAATAGAAAACTCACTTATTGCTTTAACAATAAAATGTTAAGATAAGTTAAGTACATGGGTTTGAGTCAAATAAATCAAAGAAAGTTTGCTATTGATACGTGAAGTTAACATTGCTCAGATACTGAACATGCCCTTTTCTATAATGTATTGCTACTGTTCATTTAAAATAAAAATATTTGTTATTTCAAAATAATTTCTTTGATATAAACAATTCATACTATTTATTTCTTAAAAATCAGTTCATACAATTTTGCTTTGTTATTACTAAACACGTTGTTATTCAGTTTAGTTTGTTAAAATTAATTGATAAGTTTATTCAATCTTAACTTGCCCTAACTGATATTATGTCATTCATTCCACTTTGTTATAATCACTTCCTTAAGTTTGATCAGTCTTACCTTGTCTTTACTGATATTATGTCATTCATTCCACTTTGTTAATAATCACTTCCTTAAGTTTGGTCAGTCTTACCTTGTCTTTACTGATATTATGTCATTTATTCCGCTTGGTTAATAATTACTTCCTTAAGTTTGATCAGTCTTACCTTGTCTTTACTGATATTATGTCATTCATTCCACTTTGTTAATAATCACTTCCTTAAGTTTGATCAGTCTTATCTTGTCTTTACTGATATTATGTCATTCATTCCACTTTGTTAATAATCACTTCCTTAAGTTTGATCAGTCTTACCTTGTTTTTACTAATATTATTTCATTCATTCCACTTTGTTAATAATCACTTCCTTAAGTTTGGTCAGTCTTACCTTGTCTTTACTGATATTATGTCATTCATTCCACTTTGTTAATAATCACTTCCTTAAGTTTGGTCAGTCTTACCTTGTCTTTACTGATATTATGTCATTTATTCCGCTTGGTTAATAATTACTTCCTTAAGTTTGGTCAGTCTTACCTTGTCTTTACTGATATTATGTCATTCATTCATTCCACTTTGTTAATAATCACTTCCTTAAGTTTGATCAAGCTTTCTTTCTTGATGATGTTAGTATATCTTCCAACTTCAGTAAGAGAGATGTGTATGAAAGGTAAAATTTATGTTACAAAATAGTAAAAAACTGTATTTATTTTATTGTTTAGCACCAAGCTACATAATGGGCAATTTGTGCTGTGCTCAACACGAGTATCGAAACCTGATTTTTAGCGTCAAAGTCCAGAATCTTACTGCTGAACTCTGCGGGGCAAAAAAAAAACTGTGTTTATGCACCAGTTAAAATTAGATTCTTTGAAGTTACTTAAAAATTATTCCAATTAAAACACTTCTTATTTTGTATTGAAAAACCATTAGTGATGTTAGCTATGTAAAAAGTGACTATTTCAAATAAATAACTTAGAATTTGAACAGTTATATTTTAGAAATTGAGTTATTAAACTTTTAAAATTTTACATACATAAAATTATTACATTAAGTTGTGATACAATATGAAAGCAATGCTGATAGAAATCAAAATCAAATTCTCTTAAAATCAGGAATAACATAAAGACAGCATTAAAAACATTCATAGTTTTTGATATTTTTTTATTTAAATTATTTAAGAATTAGAGAAGGGAAGACACCAAGGAGACTAATAGTTTGCAGACAGATAATATTTATGATGCTTACTAATTATCTAAATGCCTAAATAAGATATTAATGAAAACTGAATCAAAGAAACATTAAAAACAATGAAAGCTCCCTTCAATTTAGAGAAGCGAACGATTTCACAACTTGGTGGTTTTTGGTATAAAGGCAACAAGCTTTAAATACTAGCAAGGAAGTAGACCATCAAAGGCTAAAACACAAATATATACATGCACATATGTTCGAATTTGTAACGTTATTACGATTTTAGGCACCTTAACAATGAAAGATTTATCCAAAAGCTGCTCATACATGTGTAATTATCGTTTTTAAGTCTTTTGTCTTTTACATTAGGAGCCGTACAATTAACGACATTATTAGTAATGTTCAAACAGTAGTCTTCTGGCGTAATTAGACCTTACTGTGTTTATTATAGCACGATTAGACCTTAATGTGTTCCTTTTAGCGGGATTAGACCTTACTGTGTTTATTCTGGCACGATTAGACCTTACTGTGTTCCTTCTGGCGTGATTAGACCTTACTGTGTTCATTCTGGCGTGATTAGACCTTACTGTGTTTATTCTGGTACGATTAGACCTCACTGTGTTCCTTCTGGCGTGATTAGACCGTACTGTGTTCCTTCTGGCGTGATTAGACCTTACTGTGTTTATTCTGGTACGATTAGACCTTACTGTGTTTCTTCTGGCGTGATTAGACCTTAATGTGTTCCTTCTGGCGTGATTAGACCTTACTGTGTTCTTTCTGGCGTGATTAGACCTTACTGTGTTTATTCTGGAGTGGTTAGACCTTACTGTGTTTATTTCTGAAAAAAGAAGTGTTTCGATTGGCACTAATAAAACAAAGTAAAGTAATCAACATAACTATAACCTAACAATAAAGAAATCGTATACTAATCTATTTTGTGAGATAGTCAATCATTCACGGATTATGGGCTCACCGAGTACCTCCGGCTGTAACTTCATTGACCAAAACATAGGGCATCTCTCACCGTAACAAAAATTATTATTTTGACATTTTTCACTACGTTTCCAGATGTTCATTTTAAATTATGAGGTGACGTATTTTTTTACAAAATTAATCACGAATTTCACAAATTTCTAATATAAATAGAGCTTTGTTTTTAAATAGTTAATTTTTTAAAACAAAACTGCTTTTCGCTGCATTATTTCATGTAATTACCACCACTTTATAGTGCTGTATTAGAAGACGTATGGTCTGATTTACAGCAGTTCTTGTTTTACCCCATATTACATTACCTATTGAATATGACAGTATTTCAACTTTATGAAAATATAAATCTTTTTACTTAAATACGTAAGTGTAATAATAAATTCTATTATTTGTGTAATAATTTTTGATTTTCAACAGCTTAGGAAGTATTTTTTTAGAGGTATACATTGCACACTGCTGTACTCCCTTAACATTCCCCATTATTTTTTAAATGCTCATGGACTCCAGTATTGTCCTTTAGAATAGATGTATTTAATTGTACTTTGGGGATAAATATATTTTATTATCCTTTGGATATAGATGTATTTTATTGTACCTTGAGGGTATATGTATTTCGTCACATTTTGAAAGATACATGGTGCACATTAAAACATCAACCAATAATATTATTTTCTACATGGTTTGTCTGATATAATTAATAAATTAAAGGGGTAATGAACAATAAGAAAGTAATATACATAATATACCTAATACACAGATACACCTGCATATGAATACTGGAAACTGATCTATACACGATGAAATAATCAATATATATAAGCCTTTTACTTTATTAAAATGTTAAACAATCCAAATCCATGTTAAGTAAGCATAAAAATTGTATGAGACTTTCTTTCAATTTTGGTAGTTGTATAATGACCAAATTAAAATATTCTCGTAACCCAAATTGTCCAATTCAGCAGGATGACCCATAATATAGTTATATATATTTCATTGAAACTCAAACTACTGACAGGTATTTCGATTACATTTAATTATTAAAAAATAATCATCGGGGGTGCTCGAGGATTGGGAAATGATATAGTCTTGGCTGTAAAATTGCAAGTTAAGGTGAGTATGATGTATAATATACATACATCTGAGCACCAAACACTAATAAACGGCCGATCTCAGACATATGGTCCTTCGGGGCGGCGGGGTCTATAAATCCTATGCCAAGATTTTGTTGTGTGTGTGGGGGGACGGGAGTTTCCTGAGAAAACACATCTTCACTGGTAAGGCGCCAATCCATTACAAGTGTCCGGTTAACGTGAAGATGTAAGATGTACAGAGGCAGAGATTTCATTTAAAAATGTTTTCACAAAAAATATCAAAAGCGATCAAGTTTATTTTTTAGTTTATGTTCTTTTATTATGCTTCTTCCTTTAAATAGGGAGCTCAATGTCAAAATAGGCTATATTGTGTTAGCCAGTGTAAAGTAATTGGAACAGTAAAGGACCTCGTTTTTAGTATTTTCTATAAACAACTGACACAATACGATGGCAAGAACATTACTGTATGTGTGTTCAGCCACGTTTGGGGTCTTATACGATAATTTCACATTCCTATAATAAAGTATGGCACACAATATTAAACTGAAGTGCTAATTACCATTCATTTTATATAAAGGTGAGTTGACGATATGGAGTTTTCTTTGAAGCAATTCAACATTGATAAACTTTGCATGCGTTTATCAGGAAAGAGTAGTTATTCAAGCTGGATACGATTCAAAAATACTCTTTAGCATGTTTAATATTTCCTTTTTAGAAACGAAAATATCTTTCTACATTTAAAAACTTTAAAGTATTTTGAATTGGTGACTTTTATTGTGTTATTGAACCAGAAATATTTTCAAAATATTTAAGAATGTTTTATATCTAGATCTGGGTTACCTCAAGTTAGCAGACCTCGTTATTACTAGAAGTAGACATCCCCAACATGGCTGCCGAAAGACTGTCCGTAATCAAAGGACATATTAAAGGAAGCAATGTGTTCGTAGAGAATTCCATCAATAACGAACACAAGCAGAGTCACAAGGTTCCGCAACGTAGGTAAGTTTGTGATAATTTAATTTAGCTTTTAGTAATATTAATGAATAACACTATTTTGTATGTAACTATGCATTACATTAGCATATCTCATCTGGTGTTCTTGAACTTCAGGTTTACAGATTAATTATCGACTAGATTTCGTTATTATCTTCCAATAACTTATGTACTAATGTTTGGTGTTAAAGAAATTTACGAATTTAATTAATATAAATTTAATTTACAAGTATATGTCTATTTTACCTTATATAAAAACTCGGTGATATATTCGGCCAAGTGGGTGTTAGAAGTCGTTATTGTGGAACTGTTAAAAATATTTGTCATCCATAATTGTTATACATCTGACATATAAATTTATCATAAAAGAGTAGTGGTGATATGCTTTTTACTATTAACAAAATGTCGATATAAGCATATCTTGGAAAACATTACCAATATTCTTTGGTGATAATTTTATATCTCAGATGTGTAACAATTACTCATGTTTGTTTGATTGTTTTGTTCTTAAGCACAAAGTCATTTGTCCTGTACTCACCGCAGGAATCGAATTCTCCATTTTAGCGTAATATTCCTTAAAGCTTACTGTTGAGCCACCGAGAGACACATATCTTATGAACAAATTCTGTACTCCTTTCGTACATAAACTTAAAAATGTCTTAACTAATATGGTGACCTTTTCTCTTTCTTTTTTTCTCACAAACGTTTGGGTAGGAATTTGACATGTAACTACACTTTATTAGTTTCTCTTCGTAGACTACGTATCCCTGAGTGGAGTGTTTTAGTAGTTTTGCAGATAGCCGAGCTCTACCAACAATTGAAATTTTTGATGGAAACTTAACCTAAATTAACAAATAAAGCTAAAGCCTGTTTATTTGCAAAAATTAAATTTCTTGTATGAAGTTCAAATTTGACATTGAAAATTTCAAACTAAATGAGACGGATAAACGTTTAAACTATTTTCTAGCACTGTCGAACCGAAGAATAATATATTGCTTCTTCTCCTACGATTTCTGTATTAGCACTATGTATCTAAATTTTAACATTTGCTTTTTTTTCAATGAACATGTTTACATATCTCTGCAGGCAAGATGTTGTGAAATGGAATGGATGGGGATACAAAGATTCTAAGTTTCTTTATGACTCTGACAAGGATGTCATTCATTTTATTGGGGCCAGGTAATTAACAATTTTTTCAACAACATTTTATTTATTGGAAATAATGTTTTTTCTATAACATGTGTGAACCAGATTTATTCTTATATGTGTGTAAGTGAATGTCTGTTTACTGAATATGTACTCTATTACCAAAAACTGAGACAGCAGACCTTCACTAGAGGTTGTCTTGTTTCGCCACGTAGACCTCATTTTCATAAAGAGTGAACTTTTGATGTTAATAACAGTCTACATTATGTTACTAATGTTAATAGCAGTCTACACTCTGTTACTAATACTTAGCGTTAATATTTCGTGCACAGCTGGTGGAATAGCAAAGCTATCCAAGTGTGGCGAGATTTCGGGGTCTGTACTTTTTTGTCTCTCAGAGAAGAGTTTCAAAACGCCTCAGATTAACTTTAAGTTCGAAGATCTCGGCTCTCCAAGACCCATTCTGTTATCGCTGGGTACCGTATGTAGTATAGGATTATGAAAGAGATAAGGTGCCTTTCTACAGGATTCCATCAGTGCAAACCCAAAACGACAAGGCATTCACAAGTCATGTAACCGCTCCAAGGTTAAATCAGCTAAAATAGGTACACGTATCATGATTACACTCCCTTTCCGTCAAACCCAGATGTATTCATCCGAAATAAATAATGAAGATCAAGATTCATCAAACCCAGGTGTATTCATCCGAAATAAATAATGAAGATCAAGATCCGTCAAATCCAGGTATATCCATCCGAAATAAATAATGAAGATCAAGATTCGTCAAACCCAGGTGTATCCATCCGAAGTAAATAATGAAGATCAAGATTCGTCAAACCCAGGTGTATTCATCCGAAATAAATAATGAAGATCAAGATCCGTCAAATCCAGGTGTATCCATCCGAAATAAATAATGAAGATCAAGATTCGTCAAACCCAGGTGTATCCATCCGAAGTAAAGGAAATGACAATGTTTACAGTGACGATTGAACTTATTCATTATTACTTAATGCTACTTTGTCATGCCAAACAGCAGCTGGAATTAATCCTGTAGTAGTGAACATTATGAAAACCATACAATTAGATACTAAGATAATTCAAATCGGACTCCTACATCTATCCTTGTATTGAAGATTGACATTAGCGGAGTAATCGGAGACCATCTTGAAAAATAGTAACCAACTTGGATTCTCAGTTGGCCAAGACTTCTCTGAAAGTAATCGGTATGAATATCTATGTCAAGTATTTTAATTCTTATTGGCATCATTTTAACAATTCTCCCATAAATATAATATATGCAGAGCCATATTGGCAGAAAGTATTGCACTAAACGACATAAACATCGAGTTTGTTTGTAATTAAGCACAAAGCTACACAATGGGCTATCTGTGATCTGCTCACCACGGGTATCGAAACCCGGATTCTTGTTTAGTTTTTATTTAGTTATCCGTTTTGTAGAAAATTCTTGCTGATTTACACCCCCCCCCCCCCTCCTTAGTAAACTTCTACTTCTGGTCAGCCATTACTGGTTTCAGATTTAACAGGACATTCTTGTACTTGCCAGTTATACTACCTCCATGGGCTTTCATATACTGTTCTGCCAGCTTGATCATCTCGCCTACGTTTTTTGGGGCTCTCTCTTTTAGGAACAGTGACATTTGAGTTGAACACGTGGTCATGAACTGTTCACGTACTAATAGGTCTGCCGGTCCCTCAAACTATTTTCACACACGGCCATGTCAGTTCATCTGGTGAAATATCGCCGCAGACGTGCCACAAACTGAAATACAGTTTCTCCAGTGTCGAGTTTGACTCCTTTGAACTTCCGAAAAAAAACTTCTTCTGTAAGTACATATCATTCCAGTAAAGCCACTTTCAATTTGTCATAATCCATGGCATCTTCTGACGTCATGCCTGCATATACTTGTAGGCCTTTTCCTGTGAGATGTGAGCTGAGACAAACTGCCCAGTCGCCTTTGTTCCATGTTTCTTTCTTTCTTTTTTGCTTTTTCTGTTTTTAAGTTATAGATTGTTTCCACATCTTGAGCTTAATCACCTTACATTGTTTCATTTTCATGAGAGTATTTTTAACTTTTGATCGGCTTATTTTCATTATTTTTAACTTCTGATCGGCTTATTTTCATTATTTTTAACTTCTGATCTGTTTATTTATTCTACTGATCCTTTCGGATAATTTCTACATGCAACAATTCTTCATAATACTGCTTTCGCCTTATATTTATGTCCTCATTCTTAATAGCTATTGACCCATTTCTGTTCTTATTACATTTACTTTTCTAAGATCTCTTCGTGTTCTTTCTCTAGTTTTAGCTGTCTTATATATCATCTTTTCACCTTCAGGTGTTTCCAGTTTACTATTCCATTTCTCCCACGATTCATTCTTTGTTATGTTCATTGCTTTTTTTTGGGGGTTCCATTTAGTTTCTCTCTACACGAGAATATTGTTCTCATTTACTTTAGCCTCTTTCAATGTTCTTATTTTCACCTTTATTGCTTCCTGTTCTTCCTTATTCCACAACCTTGAATCTTTATTTTATTCTTTACTTCCTTTTGATACTCCACAAACCTCAACAACTGTCTCCAATAGTGGAATTTTATTAGCTTCTCATTCCTGATCTAGGTCGCTTCCTTCCACTGCATTTGTGTTTTGTATCCATCTGGTCACCAGTACTAATTTCCCATTATTGCATTTTTAAGCAATTAAGCTGTTTTAAACAAGTTACCATGTAATTCAACAGAATAGCGATTTGTTGTAGGCAACCCCACAAATCCTCCCAAACAACATAATAAAAATATAGATAAATGTAGGTGGGGCAAAATGGTTAATTTGCATAAGTTCAAGATGGACGCTCAGACTTATGAAGAACTGTTGGGGGCAAAAAACGGGGATTCTCTAACATTTTTTTTATTTATATCATAAATTATCAACTTAACAAAACATGTTTAAAAGAAATTTGGCCAATACATTTATAATTCGCACTGCACTTTGTCATGCCTATCGTAAGTACGATATTAACTTATCCAAAGGAAAAAGTTCAGCACAGCTAGAATCCGCGCCACTATTCGTATTGTATTGACAAAGATCCATCATCATTAAAAGTAACCAAACTTCAAATAGCTTGTTTGTCTGTTTTTTGAAGTTAAGCACAAAGCTACAAAGTGCTTAATCTGTGTTCTGCCCACCACGGGTATCTAAACCCGGTTTCTAGCGTTATAAGTCCGCAGACCTGCCGCTGTGCCACTGGGGGCACTTCAAATAGAGCAAGGCGTTTAGCTTATATTATACCATGTCAATCTTGTGAGAAAGTTTATATAGGTGAAACCGGAAGTGTTGACACGAGAGTTTCCGAACATAAAAAAGTCATTAAACAGAAACACAAACAATGTTATTTTTCTTTATATGAAATACTCTAGCTTTCAAATAGATTGGAAATCAACAAGCTTTTTGTTTGTTTGTTGCTAATCACAAAGCTACACAATGCGCTATCTGTGCTGTTCCAACCACGGGTATCGAAACCCAGTGTTGACAGAAGGTTAATAGACAGAAGGGAGAAGAGATGCTATGTTTGCTATAAAATGGGACACATTGCAAAGGAGTGCAAATTCATTACCAGCAAACAACAGCAGAAATCTCAAATAAAGCAGTCGGAGCTATTTACAAAAACAGTGCTGATACAAGAAAAGAGTGACTGGAGCTATGGAAGCTGCTGCCAGAAGAAATAGAATCTAGACTACTTGTCAAATTCAATACAAGGAAGCACTATTGATCAGTGCGCGACTAATGGTCGGCTAAAATTAACAAAGGATCAACAGTGCTAACAGTGATGGGAGCATATGACAAATCCCTACTATATTTCAAGGGTATTTTACGTAAAATATGTTCGATTAGTGTAACTTGCAGCAAAACACAAAATGTGATCGTAAAACATACATGGACATTGCCCTGAAAGGGGTCGGAGCAAGTGCGGTTTACTCCGACCCTCGTGTAGTACTAAACATCAACATTCAAGGACAACATATCATGGTACGGAAGGGAGGAAGAGGTCTCAGCGTACTTGACCCTCCTAGGTCACAAAGACCTAAATTCCTCTTAGGAGGAGCGAACTATTACGTTCAGGAAACCGATAAACGAAATATCGTGAAATGCAGAGTGTAGACCAATTTGACCATGCGGAGGGTAACATACATCATCATAACTTCCGTTATGACGCTATCATGAACTTATGGTCACACCTAAGCGTATAACAGCCATCGTTAAAAATCATATTAAAGCAGTTTTGAACAAATCACTACACCTGATGTGCACGTTGTCTTCCACATGGTTAAACTTAAATTGATTTACACAACAAGCCTATCGGTTTCCGGACCGCAGTCGCCTGAATAGCGGAAATGACTCTTGAAATAACTGATAAACTAGCGGAAACTTTACGATTTTTATCGTCATAGGCGCACAGGGTATTTTTCAGAGAAGAGGGCTGTACAATTTGTGCCCGAATAAGGTTATGAATATGAAACTTCTGCTACCAGTTTTTTCTGACTGAAGAGGAAAATTACTCGAATTATCACATTTTCTGCTTCTAATTTTGCCTTAACGAAAACTGAAAATTTGCCCGAATGGCCATATGTATTGCATGCTAGCGGGAGGGGCTTCCACCCAGCCTCACCCCCGTCTCATACGCTTATGATGATTATTGTTTCATGTTCTTGTCTTTCTTATTTATTTCGAGAGTGCAAACGAAATATTTTTGTTTATTTCTACTATTAATTATACATTTAGAAGTTCTGAAAAACAACAACTTTATTTAATTTGATAATTTACAAACTGTGTGATAAAGTTGATATTTCAAGCGTTGAGAGCAGGTAACATAGGCTCCCAGCTGGCTCATCGATAATACTGTGGGCTTATAACGGTTATAAGTTTTGGGTTTCAATAACCGCGACGGCAGAGCATCAGTAGCCCGTTGTGTAGCTTTACGCTTAACAAACAAAACAAAAATTAACACAACTTGATG